AAAAAAAAAAAATTTTGTTAGTCTTCAGGCGGTGCCTGTGGCTCAAGGAGTAGGGCGCCAGCCCCATATACCGGAGGTGGTAGGTTCAAATCCGGCCCCAGCCAAAAACTGCAAAAAAACAAAACAAAACAAAAAAAACATTGTTAGTCTTCTACAACTTCGCGTTCCCCTGGACTATGTCCATTACTGAGTAACGTTATCCTCCCTTCTCCAAAACTCAACTGCCACTTTCCCAGGAAAATTTTCCTGATCCATCAGGCTGATAGAGGGGCCTCTCTCTTCTGATGACCTCTATCCAGTTTGTTGACCTGTTTAGCTCCCTACTGAAGTGACCTGAACTGGGTTTTTCAGCTTTGCTTCTCCAGCTTCTTTGGTGCTAGATACTAGTATGTTTGTTGTTACTGAATAAGCACACTCCATTTCCCATTATGTCTCTGTCCCAACATCTAAAATTCCAAGGACTCATTTTGTAGGGTATGGTAGACTCCCGTTCGCTAATCGGTGAAATTTAAAAGTTAGGTCAAATTGTTAAGTTGTTACAATTAAGCCACTGTTGCTACTACTTTGTACCCAAACTGGGTGAAAGCCTGACCAGAAAAAGAGTCCATGACCCTGTTTGCATCAAAGTGGTCCAGACGTTTCCTTGTTTGGCTTAGTCCCAGCCTCCTGCACTCAATCTCAAACAAGCAAGGTTCCAAAGCAGATAACGTGTATCTGGGGCCTGTACTTGCACAAAGAGCTCTAAGAACTTAGCGATTTGGTGAATAACGACGCCTTGGACCGCGTGTAAAAATACTGCAAAAACCCAGGCCTGTTGACACGGATTCTTCAGCGCTAGATATTTGTATGTTTGTTGTTACCGAATAAGGCTTGCTGGGGACTAGACCCACTTTGTTCGGCGGGTTCCCAGACCCGTACTACCCAACACGGTTAGAGACGATAAAGACACGCCAAGAGATGGGGTCAGTGAGAGAAGTTGGGGCTGCAGGACTTTGTTCGCAAAGTTCCCCTTCTTTTGCATACAGCATCCTTCGGGTGCTCGGCACCCAAGCCCTACCCATTTGAAAACCCCACATTGCGTGAACCTTCTCATCTCCTGGGCTACGCCGGCTCACCGGACACTTCCGCAGGCCAGCTGGGCGGAGAAAAAGGCTCCAGAAGATTCCAAGAGCTTCGGAAACCCGGACTTGGACCTACCCCCACAAGGCCTTTCGGCACAGCCCCTCCCGACCCGAGCGCCCCCGCGCCGTTGCCCAGGTAACCGCGGGGCGGTGGCAGCGGCCAGGAGAGGCGGGACTTCCGGCGGGTGACGCACCCGGGATCGGCTACAAAAGACGACGGCTGCGGCGCGCCGGGCGGAACTTTCCAGAACGCTCGGTGGGAGGCGGAGGAGCGGCGGCTGCCCGAGCAGCGCACAGCTAAGCGCTCCTTTCCGCTTCACTGCGTGGGCCTCTGCCCTCTCACCGGTGAGTTCTAGCCCTTGCGCTTCCCCTAGTTCCTTGGCTGGCGCCATTGGCGGCGCCGGGAAGTGGAGGGAACCGCGATCGGAAGGCGGTTGGCCGCGTGGGCGGGAGGCTTGTCGGTTCCTGAATCCATGATTCTCTTTTTGGAGGACTGGTGTGTTCCCTTCTCACCCCATCTCCGCCGCGCAGCGAGCGGGCCCGAGACTTTCCCTCCCCTTCTATCCAGAGATCTCTAAAGAGCCGCTGCCTCTGCCTTTTTTTCGTGCGCGCACCCGCCGCGTCTTCTGAGCTCGCTTGGGGGTAGGCGACCCTACGCGCACGCGCAGAGGGAGGTAGGGGCGAGGGGCTGCGGGAGGAGCCGGGCGGAGGCTGCGGCTTTCGTTTCTCTTGTCTCTCCTCCCTCTCTTTGTTGAGGGCTGGGCTTTCCCCTCCACCCCCTCCATCCAGGGTGGGAGGGAGAAAGGAAGGAAACATTAACGGTCGGCCCCAAGTGCGGGAGGGGGGAACCTAACAACGTGTAAACTCTGCCGGCCTGAGGGGCAAGAGGGGTTCGAGGGGCGAAGCTGGAAGGTTTGTTGTCTGGAGTTAAGTCTTCATAACTATTTTAATAAAATACTTAACCCCCTTGCGTGCGCAGATGTTTGTCTTCTGGGAAGTATGTGGCGTTTTTCAGATTTACCAAAGGCAATGAAAATGTAATAAACAATAGACTGAACCTATTAGTGTTCCCTTTGATCATTGCTGTCATTCACCATCTCTGGGGAACCGAAACGGGAAGAATCCAGATTAACAGTGGTGGCGGTGTGTTAGTATGGAAGTTTTCGTGGGGGAAAGTGTGATCTAGCTGCTAGAAGGTGGCTTGTGAATTATTTCCTGGCAATTATTAGTTTACGGCTAGTCTGTTAAGCTGACAGTTACAGCGGGAATTATTTACCCTTTTTGGGTAAAGTTTAGGGAAGGTGGTGTTCCTATAATCAGATTTGACAAAGAACAGTACTCTCTGCCTTAGTTCTGATTTTACTCATTAAAACTGTAGGTTCAAAACTGGTTAAGATTGCTTTTTGTTATTAAAGGCTGTAGAAAATGGTGAAAGAAACCACTTACTATGATGTTTTGGGAGTCAAACCCAATGCCACTCACGAAGAATTGAAGAAGGCATATAGAAAACTGGCTTTGAAGTACCACCCTGATAAGAATCCAAATGAAGGGGAGAAGGTAAGTAATATGTACTCTTAAGCATACCTGAATAGTCCTTTGCTAAATGTATAGTGTTGGTATTGCTGCCTGAAGTTGAATTGCTAATAAAGTGGCTGTGCTTTGTAATACTTGTTTTCGTTAAAAAGTGAAATTTATTTCTTTTCTCAAACAGTTTAAACAGATTTCTCAAGCTTATGAAGTTCTCTCTGATGCAAAGAAAAGGGAGTTATATGACAAAGGAGGAGAACAGGCAATTAAAGAGGGTGGAGCAGGTGGTGGTTTTGGTTCCCCCATGGACATCTTTGATATGTTTTTTGGAGGAGGAGGAAGGATGCAGAGAGAAAGGAGAGGTAAGAATAATCTAGGCCTCATGCAGCTAATTAAAATAGCTGTTGGTCAAAGCAAATTGACTCATTTTAAGTGCTGGTTTATATGTTGGCATAATGTTTGTTTGTTTGTTTTCCTTTTTTTTTGAGACAGATTCTAACTGTGTCACCCTCTGTATAGTGCTGTGGTGTCACAGCTAGCTCACAGCAACCTCAGACTCTTGGGCTTAAGCGATTCTCTTGCCAAGTAGCTGTGACTACAGGTCCCCGCCACCATGGGCAACAATTTTTTGTTGCATTTGTCATTGTTTAGCAGGCCCAGGCTGGGCTCAAACCTGCCTGTCCTTGCACCTGTCTCGGTGTATGTGGTTGGCACCCTAACCATTGAGCATAGGTGCGGAGCCAGTGTTTATAGCGTTTTTTTAAATGAGATTAGATGTAACTAAGCCAACTGAATGGTAACAGATGAATGTTTCTAAAGCTCTTAGATATATTCAAGTCATCAGATGTTAAGAGAACAAGGTACGTCAGTATAGTTTTCAAAGCCTCTTCATAGCTCCTACTTGACACACAACTGCCCGCTTCACCCAGTGGTAGGTACAGTGGCCTTTTTCAAACAAGTGTGAATTAAAAGTTCAGAAACATAGACCATTCTCAAGCTATATAGCAAGCCAACAGAACCAGGGCTGAAAAAACAGATTTATTGCCTCCAAATAGTCCATTAACTGTTGATGCTTGTTTTAGCTTTATTGTAATATATGCATTTAATGTTTAGCAGAAATGTGGCCTGCAAACTGTAGAAATACTGTTTATAGGAGTAACGTTTCGGTTTATGTTTTTATAAAGAATTGATCTAGACTCAGCACCTGTGGCTCAGTGGTTAGGGCACTGACCACATAGACCAGAATAGCTGGGTGTTGTGGCAAGCATCTATAGTCCCAGTTACTTGAGAGGCGGAGGCAGGAGAATCACTTAAGCCCAGGAGTTTTGAGTTTGAGGTTGCTGTCCCTTGTGACTCTACCAGGGGTGTCACTCTACCAACAGTGACATAGTGAGATTCCGTCTAAAAAAAAAAAAAAAAATTGGGGCCGGCACTTGTGGCTCAGAGGAGTAGGGCAACGGCCCCGTATGCTGGAGGTGGCAGGTTCAAACCCAGCCCCAGCCAAAAACTGCAAAAAAAATTGATCTAAAAGTTACTCTTGGCAAACTCTACTCTCTACTATGTGGCTTTAGATGAAGAGATCATTGGGACGGTGCACTTACTTCATCGAACTTCAGAAGCTTTGTTTTTCCTTCTTTATATTCTCATCTCTGTAGAAAGTGAAAGGGGGAGGGGTTTTTGTGGGGGGGGGGTTTGTTTGTCTTTTTGAGACAGAGCCTCAGGCTATCCCCCTGGGTAGAGTGCTGTGGCATCACAGCTCACAGCAACCTCTAACTCCTAGGCTCAAGCAAGTCTCCTGCCTCAGCTTCCCAAGTAGCTGGGACCACAGGCGCCTGCCACAATGCCCGGCTATTTTTTTGGTTGCAGCCATCATTGTTGTTTTGGCGGGTCTGGGCAAGATTCAAACCCACCACCTTAGGTGTATGTGGCTGGTGCCTTGGCCACTTGAGCCACAGGTGCCGAGCCAAAAGGGGAGTTTTTAATATGCAAGAACCAACTACAAAAAGGTGGCACTGGCTCAGCACCTGTGGTTCAAGCAGCTAAGGCACCAGCCACATACACCTTCAGCTGGCGGGTTTGAATCCAGCCCAGGCCTCCCAAACAATAATGACAGCTGCAACCAAAAAATAGCCCGGCATTGTGGCAGGCACCTGTAGTACCAGCTATTTTTGGGAGGTGGAGGCAGGAGAATAGCTCGAACCCAGGAGTTGGAGATTGCTGCTAGCTGTGATGCCACAGCACTCTACCCAGGGTGACAGCTTGAGGCTCTGTCTCAAAAAAAAGGTAGCACTGTGAGTAGAAGGATATAGTCAATGGTACTTTGTGTTTCATTAGAAAGTAAAAATGTTCATTAGGTGTGCTATAAAGAAGAATTTGGCTGTGGCTCAAGTGGCTAAGGCGTCAGCTACATACACCTAAGGTGGTGGGTTCGAATCCAGCCTGGGCTGGCCAAACAACAATGACGGCTGCAACAAAAAAATAGCTGGGCGTTGGTGGTGGGCGCCTGTGGTCCCAGCTACCTCGGAGGCGGAGGCAGGAGACTTGCTTAAGCCCAGGAGTTGGAAGTTGCTGTGAGCTGTGATGCCACAGGTCTCTACCCAGGGGGACAGCTTGAGGCTCTGTCTCAAAAAAAAAAAAGTTTGACAGCTTAGGGATAAGGCAATACTGTTTTGTGGTGGATAAAGTCCTTGTGGAAGGATCACTAACTGGGAACTTACTAACTGTTGGCAAGTGATTTCATATCTGTAGCCTTGGTGTCCTTGTGGGATCTCAACCTTTCATTCCCATTCTAAGGTTTAAATGAGTATGACACTCTTCAGTAGCCACGGGGCGCATGTGGATCTTTAAATTCAAGGCAGAAGTAAAAATGCTTTCTAAGTGTAGCCACGTTTTTATTTATACACCTCATGAACACGTGTGATTAGTAGCTAGTCTTTAAAACAACCAGTACTGGCCCAGCAGTGATATTTTCTACTATATAAGGAAGAAGTAGGAATTGATCAATAAATATGTGTATGTAGATTTCCCTGGCCAACCTTGACTAATGGAAATTCATTGTGCTAAAGAATTTGTGGCTGAATAATTGGCCATATTGCTTAATAGTGTACTAAGTGAATGCTTAGTGAATAGTGCACTAAGTGAATGAAGGGGGGCTAAAATGATTGTTTGAATTATTGTGAAATGTTCCTAAATGAAATGGGTGTTGCTCTAGTGATTTTTTTGCAGGCAATATTTTTGATTACCACATTTGTAAGATGACTACATCTGTGTCCTTAGGCAAATACTTAAATCTCTGACCCAATTTTCTGCTTCTGTAATTTCATCACAATTTGAGGATCATATATGATAATGTGGTGAACCTTTTGTATGTATAGGAGATAGTTAACAGATATACCTGGTGGGGCTTATCTTTAATTATATTTTGTTTTAGGTAAAAATGTTGTACATCAGCTCTCGGTTACCTTAGAAGATTTATATAATGGTGCCACGAGAAAACTGGCTCTGCAAAAGAATGTGATTTGCG